TTCTTGAATTCAAACTTGAAAGTATCATGAGACTTTGAAGGATTTCTCTTCATATCACGAATAAGAGAATCAGAAGACATACTTAACTGAACTTACTTAATGAAAGTTGAATCAACAGTTAGTGTTGATTTCATTGCTCGAAGATGAAGATGCTCTGGCTTTAAGAGAATTATTCGTTGTTGATCAAAAACAGCATCTCTTTCCTTTGATGCAAGATAAGATCATCTAAAGAGTGCATCTGACAAACCTAATTATTTTCCTGGTTGATAAGTGATCTTGAATTCGAATCTTGACAAAGACATACTCCAACGAGCTTGGCGACGATTCAAAACATGTACTGACATAAAATATTCAAGGTTCTTGTGATCCGTATACACTATGACTGGGCTAGAAGGACCTCGTAGATAATGGCACCATTCTTGAAACGAATCCACAATTGTAAGAAGTTCTTTGTCGAGGATCTTGTAGTTAATATCAACTGCTGAAAATTTTCTGGAATGAAAAGCTATTGGGTGAAGTTTATCATCTATTTCCATTTGTGACAATACGGCTTCAAAGCAAAGTCTAATACATCTGTTTCTATAAAAAATGGTTTAAAAAAATTGATATAATACAAGATTGGTGCAGAAACAAAGGGTGTCTTCAAAGCTTCAAATGCTACTTCTACTTCTTGTTTCCATTGAAGTTTGTATTTGCAAGTCAAATGTATAAGTGGAGCTGCAACTTGAGAGAAGTATTTGATGAAGATCTGATAGTAGTTGGCAAATTCCAAAAAGCATTGGACATCTCTTACCGTTTTTGAGATCTTCCAATCCATAATAATTTAAACTTTCTTAGGATCCATCATAAATCCATCATTTGAAATGATGTATCTTAAGAAGTCGATTTGAATAGTGTAAAATATACACTTTTCTATCTTGGCATAGAGTCCTACATCTCTTAGTTTTTGTAATACTTGGCAAACATGAAGTTCATGTTCTTCTGAGTTCTTAGAATAGATTAAGATGTCGTTTAGATAATAAACAACAAAATCATCTAAAAACTCTCGAAAGATATTATTCATTAGATGTTGGAATGCTGTTGATACATTTGTAAGTCCAAAATGCATGACGTTGTATTCAAAATATCCATACCTTATTCGAAATGCAGTCTTCCATTCATTTCCTTCTTTGATGCGTACCAAATTATTTGCTCCCTATAGATCTATTTTTGTATGGAACTTAACTTGATTCAACTGATGAAGAAGTCCAAATATCAAAGGTAGTGGGTACTTTTTTTTTATAGTGATTTTGTTGAATCCTCAATAATCAACACACATCCGCAATGATCTATCTTTTTTCTTCACAAATAAAATTGGAGCTTCTGTTGGAGATTTGGAATGATGTATGAAGTTCTTGGCCAAATTCTCTTCAATATACTCCTTGAGTTCAGCTAACTCATTTTGAGATAAATTGTAGATTGGTCCAAATGGTGGTTGTACTCCTTCTTGAAGGTCAATTGAGCAGTCATAAGAACGATGTTCTAGAAGAGTATCCGCATTCTTTTTCTCAAATACATCTTGAAAATCTTGATATTGGCTTCGAATACCACTTGAAGTCTTTCCACCAATAGAAACAAGTGTGGCATAAATGACATAAGGTGATCCTTCTTTTGCAGCATACAAGAAAGCACTTGTACCTACAAATATAGGTTTAATTATATTAGACTTAGGACTTTCTACTTGATTAACTATACTCTTAGTTATACTTTCAAAAAAGTCAAGACTACGAGAAGTCCAATCTATTTTAGGGTTATATTTTTTTAGCCATGATAAACCTAAAATGATTGGATTAAAAAGAGATCTAATGATATTAAATATTATAAAGCTACTATGACCATTAGTTGCTATTTCTATAGGAAGGGTTTTATGAGTAACATCTCTTGAAGACAACAGACGACCATCTACGACTTCTACATGAACAGATTTAGTTTTCTTTACTAAAATATGCTATGTCTTTTAGTAAATTTTTCATCTAAAAAATATGTTGAGGCTTCTGAATCTAGCAAGGTAGAGGCTTTGAGATGTTTAGGTCGTAGAATAATATTTATCGTAAAACATGGAGAGGGTTCTAAGGAGAGGATAGGACCTTCACTAGGCGTTGTACAAGGTTCCAGTGGCATGGTCCCTATTATAGCTGGACAAATTTGTTTTCAGACATGCTATCTTCTTTGATCACCGTACTCCTCATTTTATAGTTGCGTCACTTCTTTGGATAATGTTGAGCATTGTGCTTAGGTCTTCCACAATATAAGCACAATCTTTCTTAACAATGACGAGTCTTTTCTTACTCAGTAAGAGATTTGAAACATACTACATCAATTTGCATATCCTCTACTTCCAAATGTATGTGTTGAAGAGATGTTGGTGGTACCATTGAAATATAGTAACATTGAGGTCCACTTCTACGGTTCTTAGATCGAAATTCAAAAAGGTGATTGTTGCACTTCACAGCAAAGTCAATTGCTTGACTCAATGTTTGAGGATCAGATAAGTTGAGCATTAATTTTTTTATCTCACATTATAATCCGTAGAGAAATTGACTAATAAGTGCAGCATCATCCCACTTGATATCAATTGCGAGTTGTCAAAATTCTCAAGAATATAATGTTACTGATCAATTATCTTGTCGTAAAATATGGATCTTATTGGTTGCAACATGAATTACATCATTTTTTCCATACATGGATCAAAACTCCGCTAAAAAAGCCTCTAAATTATCTAATATTGGATCTTATCGTTCAAGAAAAGATGAAAACCACAATAGTGCTGAACTTAAAAGAAGCGTACCAATGAATCTAACTTGCGATCTTGGAATTGAATAGCTTTGGGATTGAAGTTCAATCACAAGTTACACTTGATTGATAAATCCTCGAAACTTAGATCTGGTGCCATCAAATTTCTCGGGTGGGATAATACTTCGTTCTCTAACAATGGAAGGACGTTCCATCATAGGAAAAGGGTCATGATTTGGTACAGATGTTAAAGCAGCTCCAATCATTTCTATATCTTCACTTCCTGCCAATCTTGTTGCTCCTTGTGGTGGTAAATTGAGTTGATGCATTGCAAGCATTAACTCCCTCAATTGCTCTTATATTTATGCCATTGCACTCTTCATTTCAGCAAGTTCTGCCATAATAACACTTAAAAAAGAGAAGATGTCTAATATCGCTCAAGACAAATAGAAGAGAGGACTTGAAAACAAAGAAAATACTAAGGACAATATCAGTTTAGAAGAGGGTAATCCGCAACTTCTAATATGCTTGTATCTTATCAAGAAAAAGAGGTAATCCACTCTTAATCAAAATTAGACAAAGCTCTGATATTGTAGGTGTACTCTTGTCAATCTGTCAAAAACAAGAATATAATAAAGACAAATAAACAAGTGAGACTTTTTTCAAAGAAAGATGATAAAATAGAAATAATTTGATATATATATTAAAAAAGAAACTGAAATGGCTATTGCCAAAAGACAAAAAAACTAGAGACCCTTAAAACTAGACTGGAAGCAAGAAAGAAATTGACAAGAGTGAAGAAGGCTTCACTCATGTCTTTATATATACTATCTAACTAGGGGCTACGTGGCGACGTTCTATAGGACCTCCAATATGTGTTGACTTTGTAGGACACATGCCTTGACTTACAAGGCAAGTTTTTCTACGTGTGGGCCATATAGTTACCTTGGTCTTCAAGCTAACAACATGTGTGGCACATGGCCAACTTGTTGACTACGTTTATAATCCCAAAAAGTCAATTAAAGACACCTATAAAGTCAAAGCAACATCTATAAAGCTTTTAGGAAGCTTTCATACCAAATACTATAGAATTAACTTACTTTTATCTACTTTTACCTACTTCTATCTATTTATACATGTAATTATTGGCTTATATGCATATGTCCGTAACAATGATATGTATTTGAATTATTGCTACAACATTTGGAGCATGAGGTCTTCCAAACAAATAGAAGTTGGAGTGAAGAGTGCTTACTTCAAATGCAAGAGATAAAGCACTATTAATAGGTCAAAATAGAATTCAAATTTTCTCTCAAAAAGGGTGCTATTTTGCATTTAATTTCTTTTGTGAGGAATGAAATTTTACTAAAAGAAAAAGGTGGAATATTCTCTAAAGATATCAAAGAGAATTATTTAGCAATTAAAATACTCTTAGATAGTAGTACTCTACCCACATATTTTTTTGTGGAGCATAATTAATATAGAGACTATATTATACAAGGTCTTAAATAAAATACTCATAATAATTGTCCTTCTATATAGCAGTCTTGTTGGCTAATCAACAAGTAAAGTCAAAGAATAGCTCTTCTATAAGGGTATAAGAAGGTATTGCTTTCAAAAAGAAAATTTTATTTGGACTTTATATGGCATGGGTAAGTTTGTAATTTCTTTATTCTTTTTCAAACCTATAGAACTAATAGAACTCTCTTTTCTAACAATAATTAATTGAAAAAAAAAAAAACAAAACAAAACAAAACAAAATAAAACAAACAAACAAACAAACAAATCTAGAAATCTAGTGCAACTAAAAATATAAGCAAATTGCCAAACCTAATAAAACTTGTGCCTTTCTCTTGGGTGTTTTCTTTGTTTTGTTTATCACTTTTCTCTTCATTTTTAAGTTTTATTTTTTACTTTGTTAGAACGGTCTATTCCTAAGACCACCTTATCACAAATCGATCAAGCTATAAAATCGGCTTTGTTTGCAGTGGAAGTTCCATCATCTTTTATTTTGAATGTGTTATTGTCTTGCATGAAAGGAATTCCTTTAGAAATACTAATTAGGAATGTCCTTGCTGCAAGTGAGATGTTATCAGAGCAATCAGCTTCACAGCTAGCAATAGTACTCGTACCTTGAATCTCAGGGTCTTCTTTCAATACCTCAAAATCATTACTATACAGAAATACTGGAGAGGGTTCGAGATCAAGCCAGGCATTAGCTACAGAGATTCAAATCCAGACTCCAGGAACATCCAATTTAGTCGGCATAATATGCCTTTACTGAAACGCATCAGGACACTAACATGTGTTTAGCATCTCCCACTACGTATACACAAAAGATTCGCAACCCACCACTGAAGGCTTTTGCAGATGCTTAGAAGCCATTTCTGGTAGCACAAACATTCGCCACTAATGTACATGCTGAAATCTATATGAGTGGAACCAATTGGCTCCGATATATCACAATATGTTACTAAGACTTGACCGCGTGAGTTACAGAAGAAATCAAAGAAAACATGTGTACTGAATCCTCTTGATACAGCGAATTTGTTGTTGCAAACCCCCAATTCACAACCCCATTTCTGGTTCATCTTCATCTTTCTGCCGGTAGGGGAAAATTAATTGGTCCTGTTGTCTCCACTGCGACTTAAGTTCATTGATAGCCTTGGTCGCAGCTGCTGCCACCGTCGGGTTGGAGTCCATCGACAACCTCTGTGGAATGCACTCAATTTTAGAGCTCAGAAAATATAACTAACGATTCATATTTGACGCTCACATAGGGTATATCAAGGCAACAATTCATTATTTGTGCTTGAACCGCTTAAATCTGTGCACTTGGTAATCCATAGGTCTTGCACATAACCATCAAAGTAAAATGATACCTGAAGTGCGCCCATGCCTGCATTCCCAAGCGTCCATAACGATGGTGCATCAGCTAGTGCATCTGCCAATGCAAGGCTGCACATCCCACGAGCTCTTGTTCAAAACTAGCTCATGCAAAACCAGAAAAGGGCATGACACGTGTAGCGGATGGATACAAAGTACACAGTGAACGATATTCAGCGGGCACTTTCTCAACTGTGCGCAAAATCTAACCCTTCCGTAAGGTATTTCTAAATGTACAAAAACTGTACGATGGATCACTTCCGCCAAGAAGTTACAATTGTCTACATCATTTTCAAATTTACGACGATTTGAACGATTCTCTTAAGAACCACGAAGAGCAAAGGAAATGTCATTCATTTCCAAGCGGTTTCATTTTGATAGGGAAATGTGAACTTACCGAGTAGCTACATCAGGAGAGCTTGCAATTTCAGTCACTAACAACGCCCCACTTCCACCGTCAACCTCCTCCATGTCTAGCAACGCAGCCACGATAAACTCTAACTGCATTTACGTCAAAAAACTTAACATATTGTTCCTCAAACTCATTGGCGTACTTTGCAAAACAAAACTTGCACACAAGTTACATAGTAATTTAAAGTGTTTCGGCTTCAGACTGATAAAAGTGTAAGATGGTGAAGAACAGCGTTCTAGTTGGCCACAGACCTCATCTGGGTCAGTGCACTCCATGCCCTCTGCCTCAACAAACGCTGACGCCATCTTCCAGTATGCATCCTACAGCAATCCCACTCGAATTTTCTCAAAAATACATTTCTTTTTCTACTTATTTCTCTAAGAGCAACAAGTGCAAACTGCAGTTTCTTTTCCCCATAAAAGATCTCAGAATAGTATGTACCGAGGTATATTTAATTAGAAAATATGGCGCAATAACATACAAGACAAGATTCTGAAAAGAGAAATCCTGAAACCAAGAAGTCAAATCACCCTGCACTTATGTCCGTTGTGTTTAGTGTGCATGCTGGTTCATACCTTAACTTCAACGATACAACTAACAAGCACGAATGCAACCAACTGTTGTAAACCGACTAATTAAGGCATGTTTAATCTGAAAAGCTGTCTGACCTGAAATGCTACTAGTCCTTCTGCCATCGGATCGATGTTTCGCAGGTAGCTTCTAAATCCTTGATTATCTTCTGCTGCACCCCTTTCTGCGTTATCCTTACTAGCATCTACCTGTGAAGGCTTATTTGACCTGCACATTTAATCAAGAACAAGATGACGTCACTTGTTTCTATAACTGCAAATTGAAACCTTGAAAACCATGTCTACTTACATACAACATGATTTTCTAAGCTCGTCAAGAAGTTAAGAATCCATGCAAAGAAAAATCGTCGCCAATTTGCAAAACTGACCTAGTTTTCAACGTGCTGACCAGAGCATCGTGAACATTCTTGACTACCAGCACAGCAGCGTAGAGGTCTTCCATAGCTCGACGACGAGCTCGTAAGTCTGCCAGGCGCAAATCCGCCTGTAACGGTAAAAAAACAGAATATCGTCATAACAAGCACAGAAGAGGCAGCGAGAAGTGATCAAGACGTAGTAGCAGAAATTGTACGCTAACTATCCATATCTACTGAAATATAAAGGAAATTCCATCTTTTTTATTGCCTAATAAAGAAGGCTTACATCCAGAGCTCCGTCACTCCAATGTTCCTCAGCAGCACTACTTAGTTCCATAGAAGCAGTCTCCGTCAACCCCTGCTCAAATGAAAGGAAATTATGATTAGCTATACTTCAGTAAAAATCAACACCAACTGCATAACTTCGTACGCTGCACATCACATATAGAACTAATTCTATACCAATATCCGCATAGAAGTATCAAGGTCCACCCAAATTAGTATCCCAATTTTTGTAAAATTTTCTTCTGTTTGGAAAAATAAGAGCAGCCAGAAACTGACCAAAGCAATATGACGAAGACGCAACATATCCCTGCGTGCTTGAGTATCCAGCTTCAGCACGTCTTCTCGTGCACGAGCTGCAAAGGTCGTACCACCGATTTGGTTCAGTTGAGGTCTCACCGGTATAAGCCACTCACTTAGGGTATCTAAAAGAAGAACTTTATTTTCAAACAAACACAGTGTGCTCCACCGTAGGTGCCGTAACATCCAAGCGCACAATGACCCAAAAGTAATCCTATCTGAGATGAATTTCGCGGCTTACCATCAAGTTTCAAAAACCCTGAGCCCAGAAGTGCAACACCCTCACGAGCTCTCATGTCCAGTCGCAATATTTCTCTGCACAGATTGAGACAAGAGAAAACCAATTAATCTCATTACAGAATAATCCATTTCCATCCTACCTTTGCTCTAGTCATCATCGATGTATGTCGCTGCGAACCCGAAAGTCTCAGAAACCTACATGAGAGCCTTATCAAACTGAAAAGCATCGCAATCCGCAGATTTACTGTCAGGGGATCCACAAAGGACTGCAAGCAACAAAAGCTTTTGATTAAGATACATCTTAACTACTGGTATTTTACCACTGAGTTCCGAACAAGTACTCTATCACCTTACAACTGATTTCCAGGTGCAAGTAGAACATTCATAGAAGTGCAATCACTGTTGAAGACATAGTTCCGACGGGTTTTTCCCACAACCCATCAACTGCCATAAAAAATAACTTGACTCACAGCTGCTAACGTTCATACATGTGGCAAGCAACGAGAGTCGACTACCAAGGCAATTGCATGGTCAAAGATCCTAGCAACACGCACCGTGAAAGCAACAGAAAATCATTGCGAGCTCGTTCATCAATGTTCTGCGCAGCTGCACACATCAACATAGCATCGTTGACGGCGCGCCGAGCAGCTTCCGCAGGTCCACCACATTCTTTCTTCGAGGACTGAGACAACACAGACTTTTGCCCACTTACACTACACATCTTCTCATCGACTTCCACATCGCTCTTCATTTCACATCGGCATCCTGTCTTGAACACTCTGTTTTTACTCCTGTGGTGGCCATTATTTCCTACACGTGTGCTCAGTAATATTTGTGTGCATCCATCCCTCAGGAGGCTTGATGCCGAGAGAGACATCTCTTCAGACTAGCGAGTGGGATAGATGAAGTCTGTCAGTTCGGGTTATGGCAGCAAATGTCGAATCTAGCAACGCCCAAGGATTCCGGCCTAGTTCCAGCTATGGGAGTTCAGCATCCTCCAATAATAAAACCTCTTACAATTCGCAACTTGAGGAACTAATTAAAAAGCACTTTGTGCTTTAGCAACCATCTTGCAAATTCCACACCCTAGGATATTTGTTCCCTAGAATTTTTGTTTCACCTGTCACTTGAGGTTTATGACGCTGACTACCTGAGACTGCCTGATTGATCACTGCACCCCAGAGCGGCGCAAAACCCAGTACTTCCAACCCACCTACAGATTGGACAACTATTTGAAATCGTAAAAACTCTTCCGCTCCACCTGCATTGTGAAACAACCGTCAGCTAAACCCATAAACAAAGACACATCTCTCTGCGCGCACACAAATCATTCATAAATTTCGCTTACAGGAGAAAAACTCAACTTTGCAAATACACCAAGTAGTTAGATCCCCAGGATTTTCCATAAACACAGCACAATTAAAGATTTCAGACGAAAGCAACACCTGCCTATCGTGCGTAGCGGAAAAAAAAAAAAAAAAAAAAAAAAACACTATATCTCATCAAGGTGACGTCCACCAATAATCCACACATTACATGCAAATTGAACACAACCAATAATGTCACATGTTGCGGATTGCAAACCTAGTAATTGAACGGAGGCAAGGAAGTGGACCACTTCAAGCTATCTATCTTCCTCTATTGGTACACTCAACACCTCAACTTGCAACAACGTCTAAGTCTCAATTCAATATGTGTGAGACCTAACAGACCCACCAAAAATTGGGACTGCACTGGCAGGGGTATAGAGCTGGGGAGAAACACGCGGATGCACATGAGTCGAGATGATGCAGCGAAGAGGAAGAGGGGGCCTCGACCACAAAACTCAAGCACAGTGCGCACACGGGTGGAGTTCGAGGCTTTTGTGCATAGAAAGCAGGTCTATCTCTGTCTCTGTCTCGCCAACATTTGATGTCGGTTGATGCGGCGAGATACGTGCACGTCACAGATTCCAGAATGAGTGAGATCGTTTGCTCCAGAATCTGGTGCGAGTGCGAGAGCCCACTCCGCTGCCTGACGGTAGGATGAACGCTGCGAGGCCACCTTTTGTTTCCGTCTCCTCTATTTCCAACGCTCTTGGTCTTCATGGAACTGGCCTTCCACTTGCTTGCTGCCAGGCCATTTCTTTGACAAAATCCATTTGGGTCATCTACAAATAAAATAAATTAGGGAATTCTTAAATAGACCCAAGGGAATCTTAAATCAACCAACCCATAATTAAAAAAATAAAAAAATAATGACCTCTAGATTCAATTTCCCACTATTGAATCTGCAACCAATAAAAACCAACCACATTCATTATGATTACCATATCAAGGATGAATCTATTTAGTAATAGCATGGGTCTATTCAACATTCTCCATAAACTATTGCTATTCTCTCCAATTTGATTATCAATTACATTATTGAGTATTTAATTGTGCTTACAGGATAGTTCTTGATGTTTGAGGTGATTATTGATGGGCTTTCTCTTAAATAAAATTACAATGCAAAATCAGGAATTGTTATGTCTCGTGGATGTTTACAAAAAACGGATAAATACTTCATTTCAACAAACTTTGGTTCTTTCATGGATATCAAAATGTGGTTCCACTTTCAATTTTGTATTAGTTTTGTCCAGATGTAAATTCATTCTATGTTGAAAATAGATAATCATGAGATTGGTAAAAATCAAGATCTAAGAGAAATAGATTTCTTCAATTACAAAGTTGTGATGGTATAGCTATTATTTATGTATGTATATATATATATATACATACATACATACATAGACAATTTTTCCAAAGCAAACTGCAATAAGATAAAAAAGTCTACAAGTTAGACCACTAATATAAGTAGTAAGGTCTTGCAAAAAAATAATCAAGGAGTGTTTATATTTAGAGTATTTATAAATTAAGGTAAGAGGCCAAATTTTTTAAATCTTATAATCAGTCAAAATTAAAAAGTTTCGCTTAGTTCAACTTAATGCCTAGAAAAATCAGCTTTAAGGTCTTCAAAGGAAAAGATGAGATGGAATGCACCTTTATTTTATATGGCACAAACAATATTTTTTCTAAAATTTCCATTAGACTCATGTCGAGAGGTTATTTTATAAAAAAAATAAAAATTTATATCATAATTCCTAAAAATATTCACCAAAAATAAGTGATAGTTTTTTAATACATTTTATAATTTTTAGAATAAAGATATGACTTGATATATTTAAATTTGTGATAAAAAATTGCTTTAGTCTATTTTATAACTTCATTTTTATTTATGAAAGACATTGTTATGAAAGACAAAAAAATATACAAATATTGAGCACATACACTAAATCCTTATAGTTCAATCGCTTCATTTATGAAATAAAAATGTCAAAATATTGACACTACGACAAGAACATCTCATTAAAGATAATAAAAATTTAATATATATTAATACCAATTACAAAATATATTGCTATATATCATCACTTTCTTTCATCTTTTACAATCTCTTTTAATATATTTAAATTAAAATTTTTAAAATATTATAATTTTATCATATTTTTTATAGTCTTCAATAATCTAACATATCCAAAAATACAATATATCAACTTAATAACAAATCAAAATGATGTCATTAATCCTAAAAATATCTTTAAAAATAATTATATTAAAAAAAATTATTATTTAATTTAATATTTTTTAATTTTTAAAATTACTTTTTAAATCTATTTATAGATTTTTTCTTTTTTAATATTAAAAATATTAGTTAAATACAATAAAATAAAATAAAATAGATATAACAAAAATTTATAAAATTCTTAATGACAATCAAGGACAAATTGAAATAAATGCATGAATTTTTTTCTTAAATGTAATATTGATATAATGGGAGAAAACAAAAAAAATCATCAAATAGTTTTTTATTTAAAAAAAATTATAGTAGCTAAGATAAATTTTAAGATCCACAATAAAGAGTTTTTTTTAGAATCGTGGCTTTTTTAAAAAAATAGCCTCATTAACTTGTAGGTGCTACTAAACCAATGACTATTTATTTTGATGTAAGAACTTTGAGTATTTTATATCAACACATGTATTAAATTGTTATCATGTTCAGATTTGTACTCTATCACTTATCAGTAAGGAAAATAACAATGTTTATTAGAAGCCTCTTTTTAGTGTCATTGTCTTGCATCAAAAGATAAAAATGTGGCTTTTAATCACTAACAAATAATTATTATGAAGTTAAAGTAATTTTAACATAATTCAATATTAAATTATTATTGATTCGAAATTCCTTCTTTAATCAAACATGTCTTTAGATCCTCTTCTGCATGATAATGAATGTGATTCTTTTAAATTTCACAATAATAATAAAAATTAAATTTAAAAAGAATCTTCTCCATATATATATTCAAGAGGATGAAGTATAATTATATGTATAATTATACGTACTTCAAGCTAGTCACAATTCTTTAGATGCATGAAATTCTAGGTCAAACAAAACTTAAGAGTTAATCATAAGAGATTTTGAGTAGCCTCGAATATAATAAGTAATTCAAGACTTTCAACAATCATGTACCACAAAATATATGGTTGACAATAACTCCTAATATCATGACAAATTTACCAATTTTGTAACTAGCTGAATATCCAAAACTTAACATATATTTCACTCTTACTCTACATAAATATTACACGAAATGCAATCCCAAATCAATAAACTTCTCCATCACAATTTGCCACGCACCACAAATCCACTCTTCTTCTTAGAAAACTTGTCCCACCAAACCATGCAAAAACCTCAAAACAAACCAAACAAACAACATCTACCCTAATCCAATCCTGGAAAAATAACACACACCAACTGAATCATCAGATACACAACTACCATCCCATCAAAGATTCCTTCATAGAAAATACCACAAAATTAAGATCTCAAAACTCAATAACTCATACATCCACCCCCACACAAAAAAACACCAAAAACATTCCTGACTCTAAAACTCAACAATTTATACCATCAACTTCCACATATTTCGCACAGCTGTCAAAAAACGAAGTCGTTTGACAAAAAACTACACTATCACTCCCTCCCACGGCTAAGCCTCTCGTTCCATCACACTATCCTCCTCTTATATACATGAGCCT